TTCCTTTGCTCATTCTCGTTTGCTCGCCCCGACAAAATTATTTCATCAACATTTACAAGTGCCATCAATCCCGTGCGCTTGCTGCGCCAAATTGCTTATGATAAGTCAAAGTGCACAGAATATAAATATACGAACGATTATATATAAACGATTTACGTTTGGCAAATTGAAATATTTCGGGTTACGAAATAATCGTTTCATTATTGTTATCTCGTTCTTTCGTACATCATTCAATCCACGGTACAATGTGACAGCGTCCCAATTTTTCGTCTGCGTTCTAATAAAATGGAAAATCGCGCTAAGGCTGCCTTTTGAAACGTTATAATAGGTTGGCTACACGGCAGTAAAGGCATCATCGCGTCGTCGTTTTCTCTCTCTCTCTCTCTCTCTCTCCTTCTCTCGCTTTCCGAGTGAATTGATAGTGTGTGATTGTCGAGAGGAGACAGTCACCATCATAAGCGAAAATGTGTGTATTTCATTATTCGATGGGTGAAAATTGGTACGAATGGATGTTCATCGTTCTGTTACTTCGGAATGAGACACAACATCATCCGTTTTGATGATACCGTTGACGTACTTTCGTTGTGCATACGCGTTCACTTATTCGTTGTCGCTTTCTCACTCTCTCCCTCGTTTGCTCATCATTTGGCGTTTGCGAGCATTAACACAGTGCGAATTCGCGTTTTATAGATATTTACATGCATTTTGACGTATCTCTCACTCTACACACATACGGATTTATAGAGACATATATTAAAATCCATTCCATTCGCAAATAAGGGTGCGCACATCCATACGCATCCGTGTACAATGTTCGAGTCTCGGTACGTCGAAACGCAACAGTATGAAAGTAATAAGGTGAAACACGACATTTCGATTCTCTCGGCAATTTTTGGAGCGGATGAATGGTGATGAATATATTTTGCCTCCGCATAGACCAACTAACCAAACCCACAGAACAAATGGCAATTGCATTCGCAATTGAAACTGAAACATATAGTCAACACATTGAAATGTACATGATATACATTAGGTTGATGTAATTTTGGTTGGGTCCATCGCCGTTTCCACAATGGAATGATATATATATATATATATATATATATATACATATATATATATAGAGAGAGAGAGAGAGAGAGAGAGAGAGAGGACTTTCGGTTGAATGTAGCCGAGTGGAGCAGCGGCTATCATCGTGAATTACGGTAGTTAATCGTTTAAAGTTTTTTCTTGCACATATTTTGGCAATGCGGTGGATTAAGAGGGTTGTGAGATCACACGGATGCAATGCGTAACGATTCCGATGCCATATTGATGAATTGCTTCATGTTGCCGTTCGCTTTTCGTTTGTGTTTTTTTGTCGTGCAATGTTGGAGTGAGCGAGTGAAAAGCGCTCGCGGTGTATGCTCTCAATACTTACATAGAGAGTCAAAATGTTATGTGTTTATATATTTATTTTTATATGTGTACCCCATATTTCGGGATGACGATGATTTTGTACATTGAAGATGTCTTTATCCATCTATCGGTATATCTGTAATCATTATTGTATTTATATTATAACATACCGTTTTGGCATTTTCCATTCGAAATCCTCTCTCTATCTCTTTCGCATTCTCTCTCTCTCTCTATCATCAGTATATTGGATTTTCAGCTGAGCTTCGTGTATGGTGGGACGTTTGTACGGAGAGAGAGAGAGAGAGAGTGAGCGAGTGAGCGAGTGAGCAATTGAAATACGAGAAAATATAATGTAATATCAAAACGTCAACAATGCAAATTTTATTGATCTATTTGTTGTATTTGTGTGCGAATGCTTGAGATGGTTCTATCTCTCTCTCTCTTCCTCTCTGCATCCTTTTCTCTACCATTGCTCATTCTGTTTGGTTTGTGTGCCGATTTAAAATTCATTGTGTGGATTGAAGAATTTTGTTTGTTTTGATGACATGTAGTTTGGTCCAAAATGACGATACCTTCTATCTACCTTCCCCGTGTGCTGAAGCTAAGCTTTGGCTGGAGCAAAAAAAAAAAAAACACACTTCACCAAGGAATCAAACAAAATTTTATCCAAACGAATGACAAATGCCACAATATTTTCCAACACGCTACGAAATGACGGATGAAATAAGTAACATGAGAAAACGGCAAACTTCAGAGAGAAGTTCCATCCCAAAAATCAATTAACATAGAAAATTGTGTAGCGAAACGAGCCCACAAAATGTTTAAGCGTTTCACATGAACTCGGCGTTTATATGAGTGTGTGTGTGTATGTGCTTTCGTGTGCCTGTACTGCTGCAGCCGCTGCCGCTGCTGCTTGAGTTTTCAGTTTATGTTTCTGTTTATGCGCGTATCTCTCTGTTTGTGTGCATATGTATTGCATATAATGAGGGATAATTAGTTTTGCTTTAATTATTGATTGTGTGAATTATTTCAGAGGGAGCGAAAGAGATTAATTTCGTTTGATTGATTGCTTTGCTTTGCTTTGCTTCGACAACAGAGATGGAGAGAGAAAGATTAAGAGAAGCATAATTCTGAATGGCAAATATTTTCGAAATTCGATACAAAAATTGAAGAAGAAAAAATAGAACAGGTTGTTTTTTTTTTCGTTTAAAAAAACATCGATTTGCTTCTGTGTTTTTCCATAACGGATTTGCCACCACTCACAAAACTTGGAAATAGCTAACGAATGATGAAAATCGAAAAAAGAAAACACAACAGCGAACATACAAATCCTAATTGTTTTTCCCATTTATCTATACAGATGCGGTGCATAATTTATAATCAACTAAAAAAGCTATACGATAGCAGTGAATCAAATAGTACCGTGTGGCTTCCCGAAAACATACAATTCATGTAAAATTTTATTTAAAGAAGATAAAAATAACAACCAAAACCAAATATTAAAAATAAAGTAAAAAAAAAAAACTTCAAATCGTAAATGGATACAGGGTCAAATAAATTTAGTGTTTAAGTAAAAAAAAAAATAGTTCGGAATAGAATAAAAATTAAGGAAAAAGAAACCGTGATAGTTTTGCACTGGAAAACATTTGTCTTCATTGTGTGAGATCGTGAAAATTTGACGGAAAGAATATGCTTCGGTCAATACAATTTTGGAGCTCGTGCAGCAAGTGTGTTTAGTTCAAATTGATCAGAAAGAGAGCAAGAACCAGGCGGAAGTTGAACGTGACAAAAGTTCACACACACACACACACACAAACACACACACAACCACACGCAACAAAAATCCCATTTGGTTTATCGTTGCTTTTCCGCGTGGACATGGAATATAATGAACCATTGAATTTATCCATAAAAAAGAAACCAATCGCTGTGGTCACGCCATCATCGTCCGCATCAAATAAACTCGATGTGGCTGGCAGTTCGGGGAGCGCTTCCAATGATGCTGACGATCCAAATGAACGCTTAGACACATCATCACCAAGTGGCGTTAATGAACGCGATAACATGAACCAATCTTCACCCGTGCCAAATATCGAAGACACAAGTGCATGTCGCAATGCAACTGATTCGATTTCGGTATGTTTTCTAGTTCTTTTCTGTGCGGAAATTCATGTTAATTGCGAAGCGAAAGATACAGTTTTTATTTTTTCATTAAATTTGTGTATATTTCAAATTGATTTTGCAGGCAAAACGATCAATATCACCGATTAAACCGACACCGAGCACGGTGAATGAGATGGACGAATCGTCCAATTCATCGGTACATAATTTAAATTTAGTTAATTTATTGTATGGGAATTCAGCGCCGTCACTGAATGCAACCGAGGTGCCACGATCACCGTCAGTTAGTGGCTTGTCAACGTATACAGCGGCACAAACAAACACATTGGCACCAAATCAACAGCAACAACAACAACAACCACCTTCATCGGCATTGAGCGCATCCATTTTAGAGGCCACCAATTCACTGAACAACTATTTGAATCAGCAAAAATCGCTGGGCATCGCTAAAATGCATTTGGAACGGTATCTCAAAGTGACGAATCAATATTTGCACGCAACACTCGATGGCGCTAATTTAACATCAAACGAACAAATCAATCATTTGATTCGCACCAACATTTTGACCAATAAAATAGCAGCAAATAATCTTATTTCAATTATCAATAAGTTGCTTGAACAAAACATTATCTCCGAATACTATTTCAAGCATGCCAGTAGACTGATGATGCAGTCATATGAAAATGTAACGGCGACCACTGCGTCAAATTTTCCCGAATTAAGTTTGACCACGAACACCGACAAGGACGCATTCGATTTATTTGACAAGAGTAAATTGTCGCCAACCCAAAATTCCAACGCACATCAACCATCCGAACTATTGAAAGAGCTGATCAAACAGCGTGAAATACGTTTTAATGAGGAGCAACAGGATGATGATGGTGACATTAGCGATAGCGAAACCAATGACAATCCACAAAAAGTGGAGCTACTCGACTATGATGACACGATAAAAAAGGAAACGATACCAGTGCACGCAAATCCGTTCATGTCATATTTACACATGCATTTGAATCGTAGCTTGGACAAAGGTAAAACTGATACAAAGTATTTTAATGGAGCCTCGATCGTCATACCAAACTCGGTGAGTCCAACCGATTCGACATCGTTGTCACCGCTAATTGCGCCTATCGAAGGCAAAACCAAATCACACAAGAAACGCACCAGCAACCATCATTCGGCCACCGCCAATAATTTCACTAACAATAACAATAATAATAGCCACTCGAAATCGACGTCACGTAGTTCGCGATTCGATTTAGCATTAAATCTCAGCCAAAGGTTATTTTCCATGTATCTCTTGCACAACACTCCACACCCTTTCTTTTTATTTCATTCATATTCTTGTGTTGGTTGTTTTTCTTTCAATAATATTGCATTTTTTTTATTCATTTCGTGGTTAAATATGAGTTTTTTTTTAGTTAATTCGATCTAGATATTATGATAATCTGAATTACTAATGTTGAACGATTCCATTTCAGAACTGCATTGGATCAACAAAAGAACTCACCAAATAATATGCATATACAGGTTAGTAACTTCAATAGATACGTAAAACGCATTGTGTAAGATAAGATTCGAAGAGTTACTCTTCCTAGTACTCTTCCAATGCACATTGTGTACTCTTTCAATGCCCAATATTCATAGGATTCTCAAGGGGTTTTATAGAAATATAAAGCGATGCTCGAATTTGGCTAAAAATAGTTAAAGATTCCATTAAATATTACGAGTATTGAATGTATTCAAATAAATAGTGTTTTTTGTGGAATTCAATGCAGCAACCACACCAGCCCCACCATCACAGTCAACAGCCGCAGCATCAAACTCATCAGCAAACGCATCCTCAACATCATTCTCATCACCAGCAGTCCCAGTCACATCAGTCACAGTCGACTCATCAATCACAGCAGGTATGTCTTATATCAACTTTCGAGTGGCGGTCATAACACCACGGACGGACAGCATGCTTCTGTGTTTTCTATTACATTCGTATATCCGTTATGAACGTCACTCCAAATTTCCACCAATTTCCACGGGAATAATTTGTTTTCTTCATTTCTTGTGAAATCGATGAAGTTTCAATTTGCTCAAAATTGTTGCAACTGCACCAACAACCGAAATTTAACAATTTTTCTTTTAAACTAGGAACAAATCAACGAAAAGAAGAAACCACATATCAAAAAACCATTGAATGCATTTATGTTATACATGAAAGAGATGCGGGCTAAGGTAGTAGCCGAATGTACGTTAAAAGAATCAGCGGCCATAAATCAAATATTAGGACGACGTGTAAGTATTTTGATTTCCAATACAAACAATTTACATTTGGGCCAATGAAAAAAAAACCAGAAACATTTCTTCAATATCCCCAAAACAATCATCCATCACTCCAGATCGCAAAATGAATACATATATAAAAAAACAACATCCATTTTTTTTAAATAAATAAATTCCCAAACAGAAAGACAATTTTCGGAGTTGAACGAACCGCGTGCGATTTTTTGAGCTACAATTTTTTTTTTAATTCCATATTTTATGCAAAATTCGATCATTTTTCCAAAAAAAAAAGAGACGACATAAATCAGTCATAAAAATAACGCTTCTAGCGATTTGATTTATACCAAATCCAAATAATTGTTTTTTATTTGATTGTTTTGAAAAAAAATTCCCGTTCGTTCAATTTTCGAGAGCTCCACCGCAAATAATTTGTAGAATAAATGTGAAAAAAATAGTTTGTGTTTTGGACCCACGTATTCAACTACCATTCTGAATATGCGAATAGCTTCGAAATTTAGCTAAAACCAAAAAAAAAAAACATGAAAAAAATAATCAACAACAACTACAGCAATATTTTGAGCTGCAGCGCGAGATATGGTTTTGTTGATGGACAACAATCTCCTTACGCGAAGATTCTCTATACTTTTTATTCCATAGAAAAACCAATTCATACAAAAAAAAAACCTTAAATACCCACCGGAATTTCCGCAAAAAATGGAAGCTTCACAACCAAAAATTGTTTTAAAAAACCTTTGGGAAACATACATTTCTCTGCGCCTACAGAACATTTTCTCTCAGGGACTTTTGATACTTTTATAGTTTAATTTACTTGTTCGATATTGCAACAACAACAAAAACACACACACACAAAAACAAAAGTTTCAATTTTTTTTTCTTAATTATGATTTTTCTTTTCTTACATATATATATGGTTTCGTCGAATTTATCGAAAATCCCTTTGTGTACGGTATTCAAACACAATGACCAAAATTCCAATCACTACGACTACTGTGCTCCCAAACCATTCCAAATATATTCGAAATGCACGAAAATTAAAAAAAAAAAAAAAAACGAAAACAAAAAACACGCGAATCACAAATTCAATCGAAATCGGGAACATACACACAGTGGCACTCACTCAGTCGTGAAGAACAAAGCAAATACTATGAAAAAGCAAGACAAGAACGTCAATTACATATGGAATTGTATCCGGGTTGGAGTGCTCGCGACAACTATGGTTATGTTTCAAAGAAAAAGAAACGCAAAAAAGACCGATCGCCGGCAGATTCGGGAGGTATTGTGACACAAGACTATTTTGTTTGTTTGTTCGTTTAATTTTTGTTTGATCAAAAAAAAAAAAAATCATATAAAAACCAACACAAAATTTTATCTAAATAAAAAAAACAGAATTCATTTTAATAAAATCAAACTGCAGAGTTGAGTAGGCTAACAAACAGTATAGATATTTTTCTTTTCCTTTTAAACAAAAATTGTTTGATTTTAATCGTTTTTAGTTTGATAGCTTTTTGTTAACATCGCTCGATATCGATTGCACTTTCTATTCAGCCATTTGAGTCGATTTTTCATTAGTTTAAAACAAAACAAGGAACTTTTTTTTTAAGCAAGAAAGAAACCCCACACAAAATATAGTGCAATTTGTTGAATAGATTAAGAAATTCGATTAAGAGATCCATCTCGCACACAAGAAGAATGAAATGGGCATACAAAAAAATAAAACGAGAAGAAAAAATAGAAACAAAATCCAATTTTACGAATGGAAAATTGATATCAGTAGTGAAAATTGTGAATTTTATTGGTTTTGAATTATTTCTAAGTAAGGACAGAAAAAAAATAGTATTTGATTGGACTGGTCTGATTTATTTGTTCGTGCTTTTGGTTTTCCTTTTGTCGTTTTAATTAACAAACAATTGGCATTTTTCGAAACCATCGTTTTGTTGCCTGTCTATTTTGAAATCGAACCCGTTTTCTAGACACATACACACACACACACTCACAAATTTTGCTCACTCGCTATATGTATATAGACAAAAAATGCTATAACACTATACAAAAAGAAACCGTCAATTACATTTTGAGTTCTGAATTTCGGAGAAATACAAAACCCATCAAATATATATTTTATGTGAACTAAGAACCGCAACAACACACAAACACACACGTCACAGACACACTACTTACTTTTTATAGTACGTGCGAAAAAAAAGTTGATTTAATTTGAAAGCGGTTTTCCAAAGGACATTTCTAGGTAAAACACAGAGACAAACACTTTTGCTCTTTGCATGAACATTTTCACCAAAATTCATTGCGTGTTATTCGGTTTGAGAAAAAAAATGTGTTGTGTTTAGAAAAGAAATTGAAATTCATAAATTTCTAAAGAATTCCAAGGAAGTCTAAAACGTATTCATCGAAATTTGTCCGAAACAAGATCAAGAAAATGTGAAAAGAAGATTTAGTCGGTCAAAAAATCAATTACATCATTCAGATTCAAACGAATGCCATCAACCCAAATTGATCGTATCACAGCTCAAAATCTTGTGGATACGCCAAACAAGTGGACATTTTCGCATTAATAGGCGAAATATCGCTAAAGCACAAAATTTGCTTATGTGTACGGCGGCACATTGTTGGTGGTGCCGTCCATCCGTCAATGGGGTTTGAAACGTTTCGGAAAACAAATCCAATCTTTACAGAAAGAATGGAAGATAAAAAAAAAATGATTTCATTCGGTAAACCGATTTTCTTGTTTTATTTCCTTTTTCTTTTAATTTGTCATGAAGCGTGTTCCGAACAAATAGACGGTTTCCTCAGTAATTTTGTGGTTGCTTTAATCGTTTCATTTTTGTTCGTTTTTTTTACAAACAAAAGACAAAACGACACATTACGTGAATTGAATTGGCTTTTTCGCCGTTAACCATTGCAAAAACATGATTGAGATGGTTTGCTTGGTTTGTTATGATTTGCAACTCTGCGAGACACAAACGGATAGAGAAAGTGAGTGAGTGAGTGAGTGAGTGGGAGGGAGCGAGTGAAAAGACAGAAAAACAAATGACTTGCGCCTGAAATCTACGGTGATCGTTCGAAAGAAATCTTATCCTTTGTTTACATTCAACCGACGCAACATCTTTGTCTCCGGTGCTTTTCACAACAAAAAATAAAAGCTTTAATCTCATTGGTAGCATAAACAACATTCCGTGTGAATTACTTGTTTTTTGATGAACGAAGAGAAACAGAACCAAATGAAAAGAAGAAGAAAAAAAAATACAGAAAAAATGGTGCCGAAAGAATGCATAATCTAAAACACATCCTATTTTTGGTGAATTGAGTGTTTCAATTGAATTGACATTTTTCTAAATTCAAATTTCAAAACAAAACCAAATTTCGTTGCTAAAACTGTGCAATGAGAATTCGATCCCACACCAAATTCGAAAAAAAATTTAAATGAAAATAAAAACCAAAATTGAAATTGTCCTCAGATAACACTCAATATGCTAACCAATTATTATTTACATGGAGAAAAAGTCACAAATTTCTGAAATTATTTAAAATCCAAAAATAATGAAACATAAAAACAAATGATGAAAAATAATTAAAACTTATTTAAATTTCAATCGATGATGTTGCAATCTCAAAATCGTCCAAATTCACACACACACACAAACACACACATACATACAACCACCTACCACACACAGTGGCATGCATTGGGACGAGAAGAACAGGCTAAATATTATGAATTAGCAAGACGTGAGCGACAATTGCATATGCAGATGTATCCCGATTGGAGTTCACGGACAAATGCTTCACGTGGCAAAAAACGGAAACGAAAGCAAGATTCAAACGATGGAGGTAGTTAACTGCTAATAAACCAAAAAAAAAACCGAATCAAAACCAAAACAATTTACAACATTTTGAACAAATAAAAGAAAAACAAATTGAAGGGCTGAAAGCAAATGTAACTGTTAAGAGCAACTGTATGGCAACAAACAGGGAGTTCTGATCTTGAACGTCTAAAATCATCTTTCACTGCGCAAATTAGTGAAACAAAAAATCAATAGCTCTACAGTTTATGTAGTGTTAAAAGTAAACGTGATTTTGTTGGCCTCTGTCTCTTCTTATTTTCTTGGTTCTTTGTAAACTTAACTTTCGTTTTTTTGTGTCCTTTGCCTTTTGGGGAAAAAAAAAGCATCGGAACATGAGTTTTGAAATGAAAAACTCGTACAAAAATGAAAATCTGAAGAGAGTTGTCTCTATTAAACCAACTATTTCACTTTTTACCGTTCACATGTAAACGGTAATGCTTGTTATGTAGCGCTTTTTAACCAACTGTTACCGCCATTAATACAAAACGAATTTAGGTAGTGACACACCATTTCTCTTATTCGCTAAAATACGTTGGAAAAGGACATGCACAACATAAACTTATGCATGCCTAACGATTAGAATTGAATACATTTTTGTTTCGTATTGATCATCACATCATTTTGGAAGTTTTACTCATCAACTCATTTTCAGTAGCCAGACATATCGCTTTCTATCATCTAAATTCAGCGATTTCGATTCGAAACCCAAACTCGTTGTGCACTGTCAACAATCAATTACGATAAGGTTTTCAATAAATTTTATTTGATTCAACATATGGCGCATTTTCTTCTTGTTTTCTTTTTTCATTGCTGAACCATCGCTTTTCATTTTTAGACTTGAAACTTTGTAAATACAGGCGATTTTCTTTAGTTCAATTGCACACGACTTTCCGTTGGCTTTCTATGTTGTTTTGACGCTTTTACCCATTTAAATTCAAAACAACATCACAATTTTCACGATGATACATATAAATTAACTCATTTCTATCGTTCATTTGCCATTTGCATTCAGTTTGATTTAGCCAAATATTCAAAAGAAAAAGAAACCAAACCAAACCAAAAATTGGATTTCAATCGTTTTTTTTTTTTTAGACAAATAATCGAGTGCGATGCCCACAATTAAAAGCTATCAATTTCATTTCGATGATGAAACAAATCGGTTAGAAGAAGAGGAAAAAAAAAGGGAAACCAATCAAAAGAAATTGATGTGAAATAAAGATAGCTTGGGCCATTTCGCTCTGTTAGAAGTCGTTTTAGTTTCATTTCTTTTCTTCAAATTGTATTTCTTGCAAATAGACCAAATTGTTAAGATCAGGATCAGTTATTTTACATACAGCCGATCAAATGAATGATGTTATTGAAAAGGAAAGCCGGAAAATGTGATCAAATATTTCTTTTCAAAGGATCAACATGAACATTTTCATCTGACAAAAATCGCCTTCCTTTTAATACACACACTCAGCTGATTTTGATATCTTTTACTTCTAAAGTAAAAGTGCAGCACAGTTTATTTGCTCCAAATGCTCCATTTGCGTCCATAAAATATATATTCTTGCCAAAAGTATGCTGATCAAATTAAACGCCCATAGTGTTTGTTTATTGATGCAAAATTATCATCTTTTACCTTAAAGATAAGCATTCGCCATCGTGGCCATTTTGCATACTGAAGGTCAAAAGATAGTCATTTTACGCTGAAAAACACTAGAAATTTTACTTGATCAAATTAGTTCTGGCGTGAATACACAGTTTGAACACAAAAAGAATATCTTGGGTACTTAATCTGTACTATATTTTTAATTGAGTTTAAGTTTCTTTCTATTATTTCTGTTTTTTTTCTTTTTCAAATCGATTCTTTTTATTACACAAAAATCAGGCAAAAAAATCAAATTTTATCAAGTTACTTTGATTGTTTTAAATGAATGAGGTATTTTAAGCTCAATGAATTTCATTATATAGTTCCTTGAAGATGAAAAAAAAAATTGCAATCGTTTTGTTAACATATTAATGTTTGATCACTAGGAACTAGCGTATTAAAAGGAAAATATCGTAGAATTTCGTGTTGGAGCTTTTGCTCAGAAATTTCACATTTTTAAATGTCCAAAAACTAATGCAATAATTTGTGTTTTCTCCATTATTTGTTTCCATTTTGAATGGTGGCATAGGTAACAACATGAAAAAATGTCGGGCTAGATTTGGTTTAGATCAACAAAATCAATGGTGCAAACCATGCAGGTAAGCCAAAAATATTTACAATTAAACCTAAACGCTGTCAAGTGAAAATGTGTGGAAAATCGCGAACCAAACATTGAGCAGTACTACTGCTCATACTGTTGAAAACAAATGAAACAAATAATTAATAATTGTTTTTCCATCTATCTTCGCTTTTCTCCCTTTCGCTTTATCACTCTCGTCTGTTTATTAAACGAAACGATCACCTTCTTCACCTTCGAACAAAACAAAAACAAATCATACCAAAATAAAACTGAAAAATCGTCTCGTAATTAATTCGTGTGTGTCATTGGGAATAGTCCGAATTTACCACCGCTTACATCGCCAACTGGATCACTAATTGGTGGCATCAATAGCGGCGGCGTTGGAAATGTCGGTAGCATTGGGATCGGTGTCACATTGATGCCAAATTCAACGGCATCACTGGGTTCGGTTGGTGGTAGTCATTTACAGGTCAGCGGAGGTAATCAAGTTGGGCCGCAAGCCTCACCACAAGCGCCTACCTATGTGAATTTATAGGTGCAATGAACAACAAATCACATATTCAACAATCCAATCAATCGATATAATGCTTAGTACATTCACAACAAACCAACAACCAACATCAACAGCAGGAGCAGCAGCAGAATGAAACGTAACGAATCAGTGGCAGTATATTATTTCGCTTGGAGCATCTCGAACAAATTGTTAAAGTTACCAGTTGCTAAAATAACCAAATTATCAACTCACAGCCACTAGCGAAAAAAAAAAAGAAGAATGAACACCGTTTTTTATAGAGGGTGAGGAAGAGAAGGAGACAGAAGAGGATATCTAAACATGACTTATCATCAAATGAAAATGTTTCATAAATGTTTTCGGGTAGAACTAAACATTCAATGGACAGAGGGAATTCGGAAGAGAAGACAACTCTAACTTAATTAGATGGAATTGGATGGAATCATATTCATGGCATTGGACATTTTAAGTTTGCGTTTCGCAACGCGCCAGAGATAAAGGCTGTTTCCAAAAGTTATTTTGAACTAGAAAAATTCGAAAACGAAAACACACGTTCATTATGAAGTATACGTTCGATTCGTGTGCCAAAGAAACGTAGCAAATGAGCAAAAATTATGATCAACAGTGGAGGATATATCGCTTTTCGGATCCATCACTCATCCGCAACTGAAACGATATGAAGCAAAAACAAGTCAGTTTCATTCGAAAGCATGCCATTTACTCATTCTTTTCATATAAGAAAAGCTTTCTTCGTTTTTTTTTTTTCATTTAATACTTTTTGCTGTGGTTTTTCGATGTTGTGATCTTTGTTTTTTTTTCAATTCTCTAATGGCATTTATTTTTGTTTTTATTTTGACGAAATGGTTTTTGTTGATATTTTCTTGATTTGAGAATTAGCGTCAACATGTTTCCCCCGCATTTTCAGTTCGTGAATGACAAATGACTTTGTTTTTTTTTTTGTGGGGCGATCAGCCATTGATCAGGTTGATTTCACCCTATTCTTGAATAGGAGACCGTTTTTTTTTTCCGTTGTCGTTATCTACAGTTGATTTTCAGCCGTGTGTTTTTGTTGAAGAAACTCATCACGAATTTTGGTTGACTTATTGATTTGATGGTGTCGATGTGTGCACTTGTTTTTCTTTTTTTAATTTTTTTTGTTGTTGTTCTAAATGATTTTACAATTTTGCATGATCTACTAAACAAATCTGTCTGAATTGCCGAATTTGCTGTGACTTTGTTAAAATCAAGGCAATAATTTTGTTGATTAATCGATTTTAATTTTTCAGTGTGTCGTTATCGTTTCATTGACCCAACGTTTTTTTTCTTCTTTTTTATTCAATTCTTCTTTTGTTTCTTTTTTGCAATTTTTGTCACGTGAATCATTTCAATATCGAAGCATAAATTTAAAAAGTTATTAATCGATTTTGTTTGTGTCTATTTATTTATTTCAATTTTACAGGCGAAAAAAGAAGTGTATTCGTTACATGGAAGGCGATAATGACGAGCGAACAAATGACGGTGATGATATGCGCGGCGGTAACATATCCGATGACAATTTGGGCAGCTGTGGCAGCGTTGACGATGTCAAAACACCGCCCGAAGATGATATCGAATCGCTGAATCATTCGCTATCGAGTCCGGGCGCATTTAGCGGCTTATCGTATCTACAGAGTCCATCGACAAATTTGGCAAGTCCATTACGAACGAATTCTATACTGTACAATAGCAATAATCTGAGCCAAACTCACACCGAAAATAGCCATAATAACAGCGCCAATGATAGTAACAATAACAGCAATCCAAACAATAGCACCAATAGTCATAACATAAGCAGCATCATCAAATGATTTCTAATCGTGTACGCGAGAAACGAGAGGAATTCAAAAGAGAAAAGAGAGAGAGTTTTCTGTTTAATACATAATATGGAAGAGATTTTCATTTTCATTCAGTTTTCATTCGCTTTTCCCTCTGCCATCAAACAATCGATTGTTTTATTCTTTGTTGGAGCAGTGTGAACACAGAGCCGAAAGCACACTAAGAGAAAACACTCAGACTTCGTTCCACTTTTAATAAAACCGAATAAAATTGAGATGCATTTGATGTGAACGGCTCTATCATCTTGGCCTCACCACTAACTTCAACACCCCATGCTAAATGTTTTCTTGTGTATTTGTGTGTGTGTATAAAAAATTTTATGAAATGCTATGATAGACGAAAACAAATGAGAAACACAGACAAATTTGATGCAGCAATTTGTACGTTCTAAATTCGGTGTGCAACTGCAAAACGAAATACAAAATGAAAATGAACGTTCTGATATAGACAGTTTTTTTCCCTCTTTCGATTCTAAGCAATTATTACTTCATTTTTAATTTATTTGTACGAAAACAAAATGTGCGCGTTTCTATTTCCAAACGCCGCAACCAAATGTCCAAGATGGATTTTCAAATTTAACCGTTTGAATTTCAATCAACAAATGCCGAATGTCCATGGACAGTTAGTAAACATCGAAGTGAGAATAACATTGAATGTGTCATGGAATACAAACAAAAAATTACAAAAGTTATTAGGGCCAAACATACTTTACAACGACTCAACGCAAACCAAAACATCTGTAACAGTAGTGGAACAACGCCATTGAAAACGCAATTTCTCGCCGCAATTTTTGACTGACTCTGTTTTTTGATTGATATTTGTGTTAATTTTTTTTTTCATGAAAGAAAGACTCTCTGCATTTCCGTGATAAACCAAAAAAGGAGACAAAATTGAAGTCAAATCTGATCTCTAACCAATAATTGTTCGCATACGAAATACAACTATTTAGGCTATTTTTTCGATAAGAGCATTTTTGCCTTTCCTTCATTTTTTTCTGTATCTCTCTTCTCTTTTAAACGCTTTCTTTATTCCTTTTTCAACCGTGATTTATGCTAACTCTCTTATTGTCTGCATTTTTGTTTTGCGAATTTTTGTTTCTTATAATTTCTTTTTTATTTTTCGTACACAGGGTGATTTCATTAGAACAAATAGTACATCGAACAGTCCAATAAGAGGGGGCAAAGTATAAGCCACATTGTTGCCAATCAATTCATCCAAACGATTCCGAAAATAATTTTGGAAATCAAACTTTTTGAAAAACCCAGCACCAAAATCGTGTCAATTGCTTTTCCCATAGACACACACACACACACAGCCCACACATCACTCACATACACATTTCAAGCACCCAAAAAAAAAACACACAATCAAATGAATAAATCTGTTGATTTTTTCCGTTTTTTTTTAAATACGTTTATTTCTATTAATTATAATCTAGTAATTACATAAGGATATTATTCGTTATTTTTTATGTAGTTTTTTTTTTCGTTTGACATGAAGACCAATCAAAAACAGAAACAAAATTATAATTGCATTGAGAAGTATTGTAGAGCTCTGGCAGAACAAAAAACAACGCTACTGTCTACTGGATGTGGTTTACTTTCAAAGAGTGTATTTTAGAATTATATATTATTTTCTCTCTGATAATTTTGAATGAAGATCAAAAACAAAAACTTAAAAAAAAATTGATGCAATTTGAAGAAAACAATCGTTTAGAAGTTCGCGCCGAAAGAAACAGTTTTGATATTTGAGAAACACGCGTCAAAGGAACAAAAAATATCCATAATCGGTGCATTTTTTTACTATTTTTTTTTTTTTTACTAAAACGCAAGAATGTCTATATTTAGAGGAGCGCGTGTGTGCTTGCGGTCAATGTTTCAGCGTAAACAATGTAAGCAGCATTGAATTGAAAAATATTATTTTTAATTTTTTTTGTGATTCAAATTGATTTAGAACATTTTTTTTACATCTTTTTTTTATTTTTATCGGTTTTACCCTCGAAATCTATTTACTAGCGAGGCGTAGACGCATATTGAAATTTATTTTGTTTATTTTTTTTTTTTAATGATGAGAAAATTATTTTATGTATTTTATGACATTTGGTGTGTGACAAAATTGTCGATTTAAAAAGAGAATATACGTTTCGAGAATTAAATGTGTGCGATCCCATGACGATTGATTTGTCCATTTTGTTTTATTGTTATTCGATAAGACAATCTTGACTCATTGATCGAAATGAATTGTACCAATTTTGCAGAAACACTTTATTTTTCCAAACTAAATTTGGGAATATGCCACATGATGCAATAAAAACCACCATGCATTCGATTTTCCCAAACAAAATGTTCGATATTTCGAACACTTTGTTGAAAATGGACTAATGGGCACCTTTTCGATCGAAAATTGAAATTTTGTTTATTGAATTCATGTGGTATTTAGTCGATGTGATTTAATTTTCGTTCACTTTAAAACGCGCTCATTTTGATATGGGTCGATGGCACCTTTGGCTTGACGAATGGCCCTCCATCGCAAAGGGCAAAGCGAGACATTCACACACATACACTTAATGCAACATATATGATCAATGTGGTATTTTCACACTTCCTTCTTCCGAGAAAAAAAAAGAGAAAAGAAAAATGAAACAAACAAAGAAAGAAAGATTTAGCTAAACTAAAACAAAAATGAAAATGATTTAGAAACAAATAAAATAAATAACAATAATAGTGCAATTTTAATGGTTTTTATTTTAAAACAAAATGTATATGTATGATGTAAATGTATTATTTTCATTTTTTACCATAACAAAACAAAGCAAAACAAACGAATACAGAGCAAATGAAAAAAAAGAAAGAAGAAACGGATAAATTTCGAAGGGGGATACGTTTGACGAACGAATGTGTCAACTCATCACTCGATGAGTTCATGTGCGGTGTGGTTGCAGTTTGTTGTTTGTCTGACGTTGACTGGAGCGTGATTATTCGCTTTGAATGAGCAGCAATTAAAAACATATCACCCGTTATGTTATTTGCACTTTGAACTTCAAAATAAAAGCCAATTTGTCAGTTTCAGTCATTTGTCGATAAACCAACACACATCCGGCCACTCTTCATTGAACTATGTGAAAATAACAAAAAAAAAAAAAATAACAAGATTTTCTCTCAGAATTATGAGACACGTAGAACCACAACATATACAAAAAAAATGATGAAAAAAATACAAGAAATGATAATGATTTAATTAGTTGACCTAAACTTAAGCTAGAATGTTATAAGTTGATACAAAAAGAATTAAAAACAAGTAATCAAGATGAGAGAGAAAAAAATGAAGAAAAAAAAAACACAAGAACAACTAAAATCACGACATACTATTTTTTAGGTAATATATAATAAAAATATATTTACATGATAATGGAAGCAGGAATGAGAAATTAAAAAAAACACACACAAAAAACAATGGAAAAAATGGATAGAATAGATGTTCGTTATAAGGATCTATATATATATATATATATATATATATATATAAACATCTTCTAGTTTTAAATTGCTGTACTTTAAAAGGATTAAGAAAAAAAAAACTACTATGAGACTTAGAATTAACACAACAATCAACAACAACAACAAAAAAAACAACACACAAACAAAAATACATGCGATCGAAACGAGATATAATCAATGAATTGTTTGATTAATATGACTTAGATAATTTGGTTTAAGTTACATGACCTTTTTAAAGAAGAAAATATAAAACTGATCGATTAAATGCAATACAAAAGCAAAAAAAAACAAAAAAAGAGAAATAAATTGTTCGTGTCAATGCATCAAGCACCTGGCATAGATGTGAGCGTACCCCGCCCCTGTTGAGATTAATGAGGGAGTGCAATGAATTCCATTCGAAAATTCCAAATGTGTGTCAAAAGAATTTAAAAGCAAAAAATATGGGCCAATAATGGCTCCAGCTCTCCCCCCCCCGCATATTGCTTCTCTATACCACTTGAATAGTTTCAAAGTAAATAAGTAATAGAAAGAACGTTTTATCATTTGTTACGCAATTTTATTTGTAAAATTGTCTTTGATTTCGGACATGCTATTCAAATAATAATCAAACCGAAACACAATCTTTCTTTTTTTTTCAATGCATCTATTGGGACAGACAACTTGTATATTTAAATTACACGAACATTGTATTGTACACATCCTTTTTCTCATTCAAATAACAACAACAACAACAAAAAAACCATACAATACGATACAAAAACACTCACACACACACACACATCCACTTAATTCCTAAGGTTCTTTTAGTGATAAGAACGAATTTTATTTTTAAAGTGTAAAAAGAACGACAAAAAAGTAAAGCAAAATAAATAAGTGAATTAAAAAAAAAAAACAATACAAATTAAATCTATACGACAAAATGACAACATGAAATAAATACATGTATATTATTGAGAAAACCAAATCCATTTTGTGCACCGAGATACTTTGTATTCGAATTTGGACACAGCACGCTTCACGTGGGCGAACGCGTTCAATCCTCGATACAATATGGATGGATGAATGGGCGTTTTCTTGAATGGCTTTTTAATTAACTGAAATCATCGAACGTGTAAAATTATTTACCGAAGGCAGAGAGTGCCAGTAATTGTACTTACTGATACACTCGCTTGCCCCACCACTTTATGAAAACCCGACAAAAACCGTTTGCGTTTTCACATTTTAATGCTCTCAATGAAATTTCTCAAAAAAAAAAAAAAAATCACAATCTTATTATGGAAATCTAAGCGATACAGAATGTGTAAGTAGAAAAAAAAACATGTATAAAAAAACATAATGTGAAGATTAATTAAATACAATGTGCCACATTTGATTATCATTTATTAAAGGAAATGTAATAGACAAAAAAAAAACCGAGACATTTATAGATTTAACGAACATTATAATCTCAAGAATCAAACGACAACCCAACAAACAACCACATTCACTCGAAGAAGAAAAAAAATGAAAGCATTGAGAAATGGTTTAATTGGAAACAAACACAACAACAACAACAAAACAACCAGGAAATAAAGAAAAATTATTTAAAAAAAAAAAAATCATTGCAATTCGGTGCATTTTTTTTTTTTAGAATTAAAAGCACAAACAATGGAATACTTGAAGAGATTTTGAAATCAAACGAGATGTCATTTTTTAGATGAAGGAATCAAAACCATCAAAGGAAAAGTTTTGCAATGAATCGGTAAGTACTGGCAGCCAATGTACAATCGTAATTGAAAATATTTCCATTCAACGCGACTTCTTACTCGAAGAATCACGAGTTATCTATTCCCATGTGTGTTTGTGATACAAAAATATCATAAAATTAGCAAATGCACTTCATTGTTCCAGAAATTAGTTAGATGATGGCAAAATAGCAATACTGACTCCTTCAAATCTGTTTGTAACATAGGACGTCAATATATCTCGTTAAGACACGTTCAAAGAGGCATCAAATGGTCCAATACACCAAATTAGTGTGAAGTTATTTGTATTGTCCGGATTAGACAACCATCTCCTAATATGTCACCTATGCAAAGATTAGAATCATACATCAATCAGATTTTGGAGATATCCTTTGAAATTTATTTCAAAAATTTATTCATTTTCCAACCAATAATAGATTTTTTCGTTTCTAAATCAATCAAATGAATTGAAAAAACAGAAAACAATTTTTATTTCATTGAATTATTATGGTTTGTTTATTTAAAAATTCACACAGTAGGTACAGGTTTGTTGTTTACAGTGATTTTGATGTCACTTTCCATAAAGTTTTCTTTTCAATTTGTCTATGAATATATTTACTTTTTGTCATAAATTCTTATATGAACGATACTCGTATCAGTGCCTAAAATAAGTAGCGTTCCCTGGAGTTCGACTGTTACATCGTCCTCGAATAAATTAGTTTCTGTTATAGTTCAATATTTTTAGACGAGCAAATACATAATGAATTTCACATCTTTTTTCCCCTATATAGTATATTTATGTAAACAATGGGATAATTAATTTTTAGAATTGACATCCATAGCCATACAGAGAAACCAGCTTCAAAATATGGTTTTTATCGTTTCACGAAACCGAGCTTATAATTTGTCCCCTATTTTCTATTAACATAAATTGTCATTCGTTTATGATATATTTTCATTTTATTTCGTTTAGTTTAGACATCGTCAATACGATTCCAATCGATATTGTATCACACGAAAGCATTTCGATCAAGCGCCATTCGGGAATTGGACTTCATGTGTGTGTGTGTGTGTGTGGGGGGGGGGGAGGAGTTCATGAAACTATGGTCAATTCTTGTTCCATTTTCGCGGTTGGGGTAAACGATTGAAGCTTATTCTAGGCACTGATTTATGCAAATCTTCTTGAGTGCACTGAACCAAAAATGCGAGGAATTTTCATCGAATAACAACAAGAAACTGTACCGAACCCCATCCATAACATCAATCTATCTATTGATTCCAAACAAATGTATTTAACCGTGATCAATATCGATACAATTTCCAAAATAATTCATTGTTTTCCGATGGAAATGTACAATTGTCAAATCAGCGCACCGCACATACACTTATTCATAGGTTCTATGGTATAAAATTGAACAAGGTAAGCTGGAAGAATTTCAAATTTATTCGAAAATGACAAATTCTGTATAAATTAACTAAAAATATCTATATAATCTCATTTACGGTCTGCTTCATCATTTGCTTTGTCCAAATTGATAAGATTAGACGGCATTTTTTTTTTTTGTTCATCTTAACAATAGAAAAGAGAGAAAAATATTCAGAAAAACTAACAAAAAAACAATATACTGGAAATAATATTGTACAAAAAAGAAAGACAGTGCTAACCGAAAAGAACGGTTTTCGGTATGATGAGTGCTCGTGGCACATGAAGAATTCACAAAAAAGCAAAGAAAGAAATTGTTTATGTTATTATCGTGTGTTGCTGTGACTGATGATATTGATTCAAAATTCAAAATTATGGACATCAAAAGCGAACGATCCCATTGTATTAGGTGTTACATATCATATTAAAACAATCATTGTTTTGTTTCCAACTCAATGAATTTGGAAGATTTGGTTCAAAAAATATTTATGTATAATGTTGTTCTTTGCCGAAAGAATGGGAAAAAAAAACCAAAATATGGTTGTGTTTTCGTTTAGCGCAAGCATTCGATTTTGTGTGTGAGTGTATTTTAAAAAATAAAACAGGGTAAATAGATATGGCCTATGTATGTAAATGTGGGAAACCGAGTAAGAATTTTTTTTGTATCCGAAATGAAAATGTATTTGAATGTAAATAAATGTAAATCAAATTAGCTCTGTTTCCTCAGAAGAACGAAAAGAAAAAATTACACATAAAAAAGAAAATACGTCATCAATACCATGCTAGGTGTGTGTGTTTTTTTAAAATAAAAATTGATCGTTTTTTTTTTCTCTTTCTTTTCATTCACATATTAAAAAAATAGGAATACATCACACAATCATCAATGAATACAGTGAATCAATTTGGTGTTGTTGTCATTTCACTAATAAAATTTGTTCATTTATACGACCAACTAAACAATTTGTATACATATTTAATGTTGTATTTTTGTATGTGGTGGAATTCAGATGCAAAATTTACACACAAAGTGAAATCCAAACAACAAAACGTAATTGTACGTTGTATTTTGTGTGAAATCGTCTTGTTTATGCCGATGGTGTGGGACAAAAGCCTATGCGCCAAAAATTATTCAATGAAAACATCAAAAGTTAGCGCCACGACATAAACAAAACAACATCCGCAAAAAATCGGAATAAATGTTTTCGATATTTTGTTATTTCAACTCATCATTGTTTACAAAAAAGGAAATACCACATTTAAAAAAAAAAAACAATTGATCCATACTTAATAATTCTGATTCTTCTTCGATTTTTTTTGTTTGTTATTTTTTTTTCGTCTTCATCTTCATTTTGACATCAAATTGTTAAAAACATCTAAAAATTTGCTTTTATTTCGATAAGTAGCGTTGATGATATAGGCATAAAGCTCGATGAATTAACTCGTACTGTTCGCTATTTTGCACCATTCCACCACGCTGTAGCCTCAAATTGCTTACGATGCCCAACACATCAACCGATGCATGTTTCGTTGTGTCAGCATTTAGAGCTGACGATGTTGACGATGATAAATAGCTTAGCCGTAATTGACGTAAACCATTTAAAATTGCCGCTACACAGCCCGTTCGACCAATTCCAGCAGAGCTGCAAGAAAGAATTGAATGCGGATATTAGAAAAAGACTATACAAGATGACATAGAAATGATGCCTTTGTTTAAGAAGAAAAAAAAAATCTAAATAAAACGAACCAATGAATGATTGGGATTGCTCCGTTGAATGGTACTTGATTCAGCATCATTGGCATACTATGCCATTTTATGTTGGTTTGCAGTTCATTGGAAGTGGTTGGTTGAGTGAAATCGTCCTCATCGGTTGGATTATTAGCTGCGTCGGCCGAGAGATCATTGCGTGCGGACAACAATTCTTGTTCACAATCTGAATCGATAAGATTGATGCACATATCGAGTACAACGTCGATATTTTCGGGTGACCGATGATCGGGCCAATGTGGAAACCAGTAATGATACACCAAAAACAAATGTACCTTACGCTCAATGGCGCCATCATCGACGTTCGATGGAATTGATTGTGCCTCGCTCGTCATTGTGTCAGTTTTATGGAGTCGTTCGAATGTATGGTACAGACAATGGAATTTTCGAATCGTGTATCCGCCTTTGTTGAGACAGTCAACGGTTTTTATGCTAAAGAAATTGAAATTAAACGCGGGAAAATTGGGCCAATTATCATCAACGATAACTTCCGTGTGAATTTCATTTGGTTGCACTAAATTGAACCATTCATGATCATTTTCAGCGAAATAAGCTTCAAGTTGTGACTGCGATTGCTGACAATCTTTGTGGCGTCGCTCTTCGTTGCTCAAAAAGCAAAGGAATTTGCTGGTGTTTTGTGGAAAATAGATGGCACATTTCGATTCATCATTTTCAATAATATCGGTAAGCATTGCAATCTTTTGCTGAAATGGTAAATCCACATTGTCCGCGGTTGACTTCAGGTTCTTTTTGTAATTTTGGTAAACCATTAACCAGAAATCATAAATGGTGTTTGTCATGGGTCCTTGTGTTGCGATGTACGAGTTCTGAGTATAATCAGGGCCCTAACACGTGAATGAGAAAAGAGAACAGTTTTACCGTTGGTTCATTTCAGTGAGAAAAATAAAATGCTTACCTTAATATAGTTAGCGTTGATATAGAGTTCCGACGTGGGTTGCTCTTTCGCTTGACTAGTTGAATCGACTTCTGCTTCGAGAATCACGCGCGAATGTTCATTGGGTAGAATGGTTTTATAGCGATTTTTCACTTGTGATCCGAAAACCAATGGTTTCTCCTGGTAATTGGTAGGTAAATCCCAAAATTCCTGATGCAAATTGGTAAGTAAGCAATTTTGTTCACAGCGACATTTTGTCAGGCATTCTTTACACGTTTTACAAATTGTACACGTTTCACATGCGTCGCACGGTTTCTCATCGTTCACTGTCGACCGTCCATAGCTTCGATTAAATACATTGCTAAGCGTTGTTAATTTATGATCGGTTAAAAGATTCGATGCATTTTGTAGTATTTGAATGTTGGCCAAATAAATTTTAAAATCTTCCGAAGTGGTTTGTGGACTTAACGGTTTTGTGGTGATATTTCGTATGATGGATGTTGTACATGGGCAATATGATGTCTCTTGATCATCGTACACATCATCCATTTCGCTATTCGATTGATTTAAATCGACCACCGAACTAGTTTTTATCGGTGCCTGGCTCAGCGAAAATGTTTGATGAATATTCAAATTTTCTGAACTAAAGAATTTTCTTCGTCCACTGCGATTCGTTTTCGATCGCTGGTCCGTGAAGCTCATCGATTTCTTTTCATTCAGTGCATCTTCGGTGCCATCATCATTAGTTTGGTAGTGGGTTTCACTACGTCGACTTTCGCTATTGCATCCAGATGCCGATGTTGAACGTTTTGTGTTTTTGGCTTTTAGTATTCCATCGCCACCGCACATCGTACAGATTCGATGCTCTTCCAAATGAGATTCAAAATTATTGCTACTGCTCAGGCTCAAATCTGATCCACGCAAATAGCAATTGGATGTGCTTAGCGCTCGTTTTTGTATATTCGATCGGCATTCCAACTGCAGCGTTAGACTGGCATTTGAGTTTCGTCGCTCGAGCAAACCTTTTTTCGCCGTTGCTATTGTGGTATTGGCGCGCTGCATATCAAACGGTGTGCTCATCGCATTCAACGCATTGTGACTGTTAAAGCGATTGAGAGTTGATTGCATCGTTATGCCCGGTGCATGTGTACCGCCAACAATGTTCAATGTCAAACTCGTATTCGAACCGCGACGCTGCAACAAATTCTTTTTCATGCAGAAATTCGATCGTGAGCCCGGCACCGTTGTGCCACTACTCGCAATCGTTGCCGGTTGGTATGGTTGCGTGGATGGTGCAAAACATTTGCTGCTCGCTGCACTCGTTTTGACAGGAGGTATAGTTTGACTATTACTTGCCGGTACCGTTGCCATCGGTGTCGTCGTCGCAGCTGCCGCCGATGTCATTCCGAATATATTGTAGTTGGAACGCGTCAAACTGCAGTGTGACCCTTGAAAATTTGATAAACTGTAATTTGATAAGCTTAATCCAGCCGCACTCATATTACTTCGGAAACCCGAAAAATTGCTGCCAGAATTATTATTACTATGATTGTTTGTTCCGCTGGTGCCGCCACAATTACTGATTAAACTATTTGCCGAACCGCAAATTATGTCACAATCAACATCGTCCGTGCTGGTTTCAAAGCTGCTCGTATTCTCATGCTCAATGGCATACACATCGTCATAATAATCGACGACCGTTCCCTCAAGTATTGGCTCCGTTTCCGGATTTAATTGCAATTTTTCATTGCATTTCCGTTCGTTGGCCTTTTTGCTCGCAAAGTACTCGGCACTCGATGCGAATCCAGTTTTTCGACTACCAACACCCTTACTATTGTTTGTATTCAGTTTGCTTAGCGTATTTTTCACCAGTTGCTGTCGCCTCGGCGTTGTCGGCACCGACATCGACGCATTACTCTCGACACACAGAAAATTCGGCATCAAATGTGGTTTGCTTCGCATTATTGCCAATTGACTGTTACCAGCACTGGGTGTGTGAGCGCCGCGTTCCAGTGAAATCGATGGCTCCTTTTCGTATTTTGGATCGGAATCCAATGAAATTGCCTTCTGTCGCGTTTGTGTTAGCGTTGGTGTTTTTGGTGTGGTCGATTTTGACCTCGACATTGAAAATTTGAAATGTTCATCTTTTGTGTCGCTTGGCGACGATTGATAGTCAACATTTGGCAATGAATCGTCTTTAATCGATAGATCCAACACCAAATGATTGATATTTTTCGATAAACATTTTGTGTGCGATTGATGTTCGGATGACGTTAAATTGGCCGGCGAATGAAATGGTGTGTCTTCATCAAATGATGATGCGGTTTGTGCAAGAGCTCGTTCCATCAGCTCTTCAACGGGTATGCACAGATTCTCTTCAACCAAACGTGCACCATCCGAATCCAAGGAAATCGACTTTAAACGAGCCCGTCGCACAGCTGCCTCTTTCGCCTTTACCTTTGGTGCACTGCTGCAACACTCATCCGGTGCTCCGATTTGAATGTTGTTGCTGAATCACAAATAAAGCCAAACAGTTAGTCTCAAATATGTTTGTGTGTTTTGTTCATGAATTTACCTGCTATAATTGCTTCTGTTGTAATTGTTGTTATTATTGTTGTTCATCAATGTGGCTTGGTTATTTTTCTTGTCATCCGTTGCAATGATCATATTGTTATTGTTAAGTGTACTGAATGATGTGGCCGACAGTTGAGAATGTGCTCGAGATGCCTCTTGGGAAGTCGCCAAAGCTAAAATGTATTTGAAACATTTAAAACTTTATTACAATTCAAATTTCTATGACTAGAGGTCATAGGATAGACATAGAGACGGTAACTAACCAATCGGTGATGGTGTATCGACATCGGGAAAATGAAAATATGTCGAATTTTTGAACGGTTCGGTGATAAGGGGTGAATAGGTGAAAATATTACAATCGGTTCGTGGCTCGTGTGCGGTATACATTGGCGATGAATGTGTACTTGGACACGGACTTTTATAGCTTGATAATGGTGTATTTGGTGAATTTTGTTGTAGCGCAAATTTTGGCGAATCCAAACGATGTTCGGTGGTTGCGCTGCCATACTGAGCATGAATGCCAGGAACATTCTCTTTATTGTCATTTGAATGCATCACATCTGATTAAAATCAAACAAAGTGTTGATCAATTGTTCCAAATTCGTAATAATAGTTTATGATGATCGAAAATCATGAGACAATCGTCGAAGAATTATGGATGAAAAACCAAAACGGAGCTTCAAATGATAATTTGAAAGTGTTTACTTACTTTCAATAAGATCTACGTTTCGCGGCGTATTCGTACGATATTGCTTGTTTTGTATATATGATGGCGACATGGCTGGTGACGATGATGATGAGTCGGATTTCCGTTGTTTGCTTTTGCGTGATGATATGCCAGTAATGGCCTGATCCGATGTAGAAGCGACCACATCGCCGGTCATCGATGTAGATCGTGTATGTGGCACTTTCGATTGATGCGAATGATGCAGTTGTTGTGAATTATCAGGTACATTGTGATCGCGGTTGGCTGATCGTGTGTGATTTGCCAGGGAAAGAAAAATCAATTAGTAAACATTTATCAAAAATTCAAAAGAAGAATTTAAAAAAAGAAAACGATTTGCTCAAAAATAACACACACAAAGAAAAAGAGTGCAGAAATGGTGCTTACATTGGACAGTAACGTCAATGCCCTTGTATTCGTTCGTATTGGCACTACTGTTCAGTATCGCATTTGTGTCGGCATCAATCGAGCGGTTGGTGACTACTTGTTCCGTTAGTTTATTAAAATTCCTTGACGACTTCGAATCCGTTTCGTGTGAATCCATTCGTATAAATAGTTCTCACTCTCTCGTTTGATTCGACTTGTTGTTGGTATTTTGTGTTGGTTGGTATTTCTCTTCAGCATCAGCTTCAGAAATCGATAACTTCGATTGCATTTAATTTCGTCTCGTTTCCTCTCGTGTAATCGATTTGCGTGTTTTCTATTAAATTCAATTGACACATTCTCAACGTAATCCAATTTTTCTCTCCCTTCTTATTGTTGTTTTTGTTGCTGCTTTTAACGCGTTGGAGGACTTTGAATTTGTGCTTGTGTGGATGTAATTATATTGAATTCGCTCGTGTGAAATACATCCATTTTAAGCCTATTCATTTCTGTGTTTTTTTTTTTTAAATGTCGAAACGAAAGGAAAAAAAAAACTGAAATTAATATAAAATTATAATTTGATAATGAGTGTATTTTCTACATTGATCTAACTTAATCTACACATAACATATACATATCGCGGAATAGATTTCGGTAAATTGTTAACACATGTGTGTTCATTCTTTAAAAATTGAAACTAAAAACAGTTCGATATCAGCCAAAGTTCTGCGAATGCGGCCAACACAATCAAAAGGAAATGAATCAACAAAATGGAATAAAGCAAAAACAATTGGATTATTCATGACAAAGAAAAGAGAGCATTCAAGCACTTTTGCGATGTATATGTTTCATCTGGTATAATTAGTTGCAGTGCGTGGCAAGATCTAACGTGCAAACATCGTGATGATTCCGCCACTTTCATTTGCTTGGATTATTTCAAGAAGAAAGAGAAAAAAAACAGCGTCGGTGCTTTTTCCTCTCCACATCCGCCGCTGTTGTTTGTTGGAATTCTTTACTTTGTGACTTGGCGAATCAGATTTCCGCAGAATTTGAAGAGAGAGAGAGAGAGTGATACCTTAAGCGTGCGTGCACAAAGCGTACAAACGAACGAGAAAAAAAAAACAAACCAATTTATTGTAACGATTAATCGTCTCGTTAATGGTTGTCGTACAGTTTGTCGTGCATAAGGAAGATAACAGCAAAATATAGGCCATCGCATATTTCTCCCCCTCTCTGTGTGTGAATGGAGGTAAAGATCGATATTTCAATGCATTGGCACACTCAATCGATGTGTATGAAGGGCATTTTTAGCAACAGTTGTTTATTTTGGTTGTGCTGGCGGTGAGCGGGCAAGGGAGAGAGCGAGAGAGAGCTTTCTCACGGGAAAATCCAAGTGAAAAATGTGCATGCATCCGCCAATGTGACATGATACATACACACACATTTATATTGGGGCAACCTTGAAAAAAAAAAAATCAGGAACTAGAGAAAAAAAATGGAGTAAAACGATAGAACGTCCATGCATATATGTGTAGTGTACTTGTACAGTGTACCTATGCACATTTATACCGAGTCAATCGTGTAATGTGTGCCATTGAGACTTCTTATCATTGTTAATGGATTGTGTCTGGGGCTTCGATAAAAAAAAACAGAAAAATTCATAAATCGGAATTTAACAAAATGCACACGCGCACTCAGTCAAGTATTTGAAGGAAACGACTCGGATACATATTGTATATCAACAGGAAAAATGTGTGTCGTAGTCTCCATCGTTGAAATTGTTTCTCTGCTGTTTGTGTGTGTGTGTGTGTGTCGTAAGTTTTACAAATCGTTTTGAAGAGTAATGGATTACTTCCGACCGACTTCAATTGAGAAAACCACACACAACAACAGCACATATGCACGCCAAATGCAACTCTAATTCCATAGCACTGATCTCATTCGCCGAGCACACACACACACCGCCATTCACTCTCCCTAATTGACAGCTCAAGACAGAGAATTCGATTCAATTAATCGGTAATATGTACACACAGTTTTTTTTTGTTCGTTGCATTTGAAAGTGAAAGAATATGCGATTGTTTATGACCGATAGACCCAAAGATGCATATGCATTGCGTTCAATGCTATGTCTATCTCCCTTTCACTGTCTCTGTACTACTATCTACTTCTCTTCGTCTTTCACACACAAGCATACAAATTTAATTATGAAATTAGCCATTCACACTTTCTCTACTCATCCGTGTGTTGTGTTGTTGTCACTTCATACAACGAGAGACAGATTGAACGAAAAAAAATATACAGAGAGAGAGAGAGAGAGAGAGAGAGAGAGAGAGAGAGAAAGAGAGAGAAAATCGATCTCTTTCAGCCAAATATGTCACCAATGCAAATTATAAATGTGCCTTTCAATTGTCATATCTTGTAAAGTCTATTGTTGTTGGCTTTATTTTGTTTCTATTGTTGCTTTGTAATAATTCAATTTGAATACACCTCACACACACACATATCAACACATGCACACACCATTCAATTGCCCATTGACTCCATGAAAGGAATTGGGCTGAGGATGTTTCTTCAGTAGCACTTTTGATAAACATTACCATACGAATGACAAAAAAAAGAAGAAGCTAAACCAACACCACCAGTTGACTATTTCGAAAAAATGAATGTGTTTTTCACTTTGAATTAATTGTTTGGGATACCAAAACCTAAACAATTTCTAGTTTCACTAATATCACTTGCATATTTTATGCGTCGAAATGGAAATATTTGACATTAGTTCCAACAAAAAAAAAAAGAAACAAATTCAAACACTATCTCTTCCTTCGGATATACACATGCAAGTATATAAGAAGCATGCTTATATATATATATATATATATGCTCGAAATGTTTCGTTCATGTATGTCAGCGCTCTTGGCTGATGTTCACAGTTTTATCAATGATTTCGCCAATTCGGTATGTTATCCATTGTCGATTTTTCGTTCGGTGAATATTGTTGACACCAAACTTAAAGATCGCGGATAGAAGAGAAAATTGTTGAGGCAGTTCGTGTTCAAGTTGTTTCTTTTAAATTCTTTAATGTTTATTATTGTTATTGATTGCACTAAAACCCAACAAATGCTAAACGTACGTGTTTGGTTTCGTTTTCCTTTCGTTCATTCATTTAATCCACTAAAATCGTATTAAATGGACATTATGATATTTGGTTCAAACAAACCACCACCACAACATATTTCCTGCCAATTAATTTTCTGAAAATTGCTTCTCACTTTGATATGGCATTTTGGTCGAACGATTTTTTTTTTTTAATTTCTTTCGTTTTTTCACTCTCACAATATCTATCAACGAACGAAGAAACTGATTGTACTCAGGTCTCTTCTTCGTTTTGTTTTCTTTTTCGTTTGATTTAAATTCCCGATGTATATTGTTCGTATTTTCCTTTCACACAATATATTGTTCGTATTAAGCATCTGATTTATCACTTTCTTTCCTTCCATCCAACTTCACTATTTCGGGGAGAGATTCTTAAAATAAGCGAATGGTGCACACAATTTTCGAATCACAAAAAAAAAAAAAGAAACAAAAATAAAAACGGAAAAAGACCGAAAAAACTAACCAAAAGTTTTGTATTCGAAATGGAATATAAGAAAAAAAAAATATTATTTTATACATATACACAAACTTCGAAAGAGAAGTTCTATTTATCACGACATTTCCTTTTATATTCACGATTCACAGTTGATGGCAAATTGTCAGTGCGTCATGTTCATAAAGTCGAAAGAAAAGAGCGAGCGAGACAGCAAAGAGCAGAAGAAAAAAATATCATGAGAGAATAATATGTAATGAGTATAGTATAGAGATTCGAACGAAGCAAAAGAGAGAAGAGAAGAAAAAAACAACCAACGACTGACTGACTGAAGAACGCTTTGTTTGTGTTTATTCACAGGCACTTACACACAGGCGCATTTGTTTTTGATTTCCTTTCTTTTTCACAACCTCTCTCTCTCTCTCTCTCTCTTTCTCTCTGTTACTGGACTGACTTAGTTCATCTGGGGGCCCTTGCATGTGTTCACTTATACTCTTTCGATTCGTGTGTTTGTGTGCATCGTAGTATTTGACACAAAATGGGCTTTTGCTATGACAATGAATCATGACACCTAACGATTGTTGTAGTACGCTCTTTTTTCCCTTTTACATGTTCTGAGCTCTTTTTTTGCCCGTGTGGCATGAGGAATCATTGATTCGGTTGCAAAAGAAAATGCAATCGTGAATAAAGTTTGTGGAATTATTGATGGTCATATTTTTTGCGAGTAATTTTGTTTTATTTTTTGTTGTGTTTTTAGTCAAATATCGATACAACCAACATATTGCAGTACTAGATTTGCCACCATTCTAGCGGGAAACTCAAACCACTGATGAAACTTAAACCAACGATGAAATAACATCAACAGAAATTACATAAAAAGTCCGAATTTCTGGAAAAATTGCAATGAGGAATAACAAATAGGTTGTTTGTAAAATGGCTTATCAATTCCAAAGCTGCCGCTGAATGACCATCGGTCATTGCAATTTCTTTATGTCTTTCTTTCTCTCCCCGTCTTTCTTTGCAAGGTTCTATAATTGAACATGTTTACATGTTATGACGTCTCATTCAATTCATTCAGTTTTATTACTCCGGATTTTTGATAAAAACTTTACATTGAACATGCTCAGGCGCTATGTGCGATAAATTCGAACGAATTATTTTACATTTCACAATTCAAGGGCGCTAACTCCTACGATTGCTCGCATTTTTTTCCGCTGATTTTTTTCGATAAAAATACAAACAGTTTTATTTTTCGAATATGATTTCATTACGAACGATAATCACATTTATCAGGTGCCAAAGCACAATATTTTTTTTTTCTTGTTTTGGTTTTTATCGGCGTTTCTCGCGGTGTATGTGTGTGTGTGTATGTGGAAATGATTAAGTTTACCATTTGCAATTGGGTTATCATCCACAATGATAAATGTCTTTTTTCCGTTCATTTCACTCTAGAAAAACAAACATTTCATTCAAATTTAGGTCAGTGTATGTGTGTTTTTATATCAAACCATAACTTTTTAATCCATTTCGCGGGAAACTTAATTCGACCGAAAATAAATATTCGAATTCGGTATTTGATTGTAAGCAGGCACTGTTCAACAACTTTTCCTTAATCTCACAAATAACACGTAATAAAAACGCTTGTTGCTATTTGTTACATATACCGGTATTTGGATATGCGAATACGACCTATTATTTCAACTGAGTTCAACATTGAATATTGCTATACGTTTCCTGGCCATGAGGGCTCAAATAATTATCTCTCTCCACCAAAATAAAAATGCATGCAACGAACACAATTTGCCATTTCTTATTTTGCTCCCTGCATAAATATCTATTCTAAATCACACCTTCGCGGCATTGTGAAATTGACGTTTCAGAGAAAAAAAGTGCTCGATTTTTCTTATAATTTTGTTTTTTTTCTGTTCCTCTGAATATTCGTTCGAATTTTTTTTAAAAATTAAATACGTTTTCAAAATAAACATTTTTTTTCAATAAAACATTTTCTATGATGAAAAATTCACCGTTGAAATATTTGATTCCATTTCGTAAGTGCGTCAAAACAATTTCTGTTTATTGCGAAAACAAACTCACCAACGAAGTGAACGAAGTGACAGTGTCCGGCAAGAATTGAATCACTCGCGTGCGCGATTCCTCAATCAAAGCTATACGCTTAGGCAATGACTCATGTTTGTTTGCTTTATTCGCCGCTTCGCAAACAACAAAACGCAATAAAAAGCAAAAAAAAGAAAAAAAAATAGAAGAAGTAGAAAGATAAGCAACAGCTTGGTGGAAATATTCGGTTGATTTTTGTGCCCGTTATATTTGAGGATCTAGTTTGATATCGTATTTATACAAATATTTTTTTAACGATTTTTTTCAGTGCTGTATTGTATTGACTGGACTTTTGCACAGAATTTCGCCAATTGTGACTTTTACAAAGAACTCACCCCGAATGTTGTTTACTCTTTCACATCACCAAACTACAATAATCCATATGCACCGGGCACTTTTTGCCGTTACACAGGTACGTTCGACTATGATGACCGTTAAGTTTTACCTCTTTTCTACTGGATACTTGGTTTTATTCTTCTTTTTTCTCTGGAATATTTTCTATTCCATTGAATCGGTTAGTTGTTGAAAGTACTAACCCATTTAATAGGCTCATTTCGTATAGAATGATTTGATTTTTTTTTTGTAGATCATTTCTAGCCTACAGCTAAATCTATTGCACCTCTTCATAAAAGTATTTTCAATTGTTCAAACTTTGTTTCAATTTTTCTTCGTCACAATTAACAGCTCAGGCTCCTGCTGGCAATCAAATAATTCTAAGATGCACTGATGTGAACTTACCTTATGTAAGTGGGAACACTTTGGTGTTATTATTCTTGTTGGTGACTTGATGACAAATCTATTGACTTGTTTTGAATCGATTCCCCGATTTTCAGTCAGACCGATGTGCAGGTGATCGACTGCAAGTGTCCAGAGCTGGTAATACCAATTTAGCAGACAGCGAACGATACTGCACTGGACCATTTACAACGAAATCATTTTCAGAACGAATTGTTGTTGGTAATTTTAATTTAGAACCATTCAAAAATATTTTTAAAAATGTAATAATCCATAATAAATATAATCGTTACATGCTACGAATGCCAAAAAAATGTCAAACAAGTTGAAATAATCATAAACAATTTCAGCTCTGTTTTCCCCGCCACAAAGTCGAGGTGGAACATATCGATGTGAATTGTACGCCACTAAAGGTTTGGTAGAAAATTTCTTTAGCTTAAAATGAAATTTATTGAACCACTTCAGATAAATTTTTAATTTATTTTTTGCACCAAAGGGTGTGAATGTGGCAGAAAAAATCAGGTAATGATCTATCAGATCTTTTCTAGTCGTGCGTTCATGTCAACTCCGTATTTATTAAATTACAATTAAAATTGAAAATCATATAAATTGAACGTTTTAGGCGCGAATTGTAAACGGTGTCGAAACTGGCATAAATGAATACCCAAGTATGGCGGCGATCGTAACAAAACAAGATGGTCAAGTTCAATGTGGAGCGACAATAATTGATCAGTATTACGCTTTAACAGCTGCCCATTGCGTCAATTCACCGGGAAAGTTTGCGGAGCAGCTAGAGCTATTGGTTGGCGAACATGATTATAGAAATCGTATGTGCGCCAAATTTATTTTTTAAATAATTCTAATTTGTAGCGAATTTCTGTTGATTATTCGTTTATTACTAGCATCTGAAACACCGTATACTCAAAAGTACGCAATTGCATCAGCAGTTAGACACCCGAGCTATTCATCGGAGAAGGATATTAATGATATTGCGCTCATAACACTGGCCAAACCAATCGCATTCAACAATGGTGTTGGACCAATTTGCCTCCCCTTCAAGTAAGTGCTTTTAAGCGCATAAATCCGAGCACTTCATTTTGAATTCCAATAATTTATGCACAACGGAAAAAAGGGAATTCTATATCAATCGATGATTAACTAGATTTTTTGAATGACACCATTTTAGATATCAATCAGCATCGTTTGAAGGTCGTAGCGTTGTTGCTCTGGGATGGGGCACTATTGAATATGGTGGACCCGTTTCAAGTCGGCTTCAAAAAGTGGCATTGGACGTAACGAGTCAGCTAAAATGTGAAGCTGCATACCCCAATCGAATAACCTCTGGACAGTTCTGTACTTACACAAGAAACAAAGGTACTTACATATCTTAAACTTACACATTTAAAATATTCCATCGCATTCAAATAATATTTCGAATTGACAGATACATGCAGCTATGATAGTGGCGGACCGTTGCTGTTTAGTGATGTCACTGGCAACAATTTACTCTATCAAATCGGAATTACCAGCTTTGGGGTGAACTGTGCTTCATCAATGCCGAGTGTCAGCACCCGTGTGGCCGCTTATTTAGACTGGATTACGAGTGAAGCTCGTTACGCACGATTTTGTGTTCAATAAATGTTTATTATAAAAATTTTAATTTAATTGATCTTTTTTTACTTTCAATATGTATGTTTTAGAGAGAGAGAGAGATGCCTTTTTTGGTAAAATTAAACTGTTTCGTAAAAAATAGATTTAGTTGCGATTCTTTAAAAATGTGTGTGTATGCATTCAATTGTTGCTATGGAATGTTCCGAAATTTGATACTTCAAAAATTAACTGTCACACGAACATCATTACCACATCGGTTGACTGAACGCGTCCATGCCAATTCGTCCCAATCCATTTGCAATTGCTTTGGTGCGATTTTCTGAAGACGTACATCCAGATCCAGTTTCTTAACCGGTGTAACACCGTTAGCTTGTATTCCCTTCGCTTGAGAGTCGGTACAGTCGTCAGCAGATTGGTCTACGTCCATCAAAGAGACAGCATTTAGCTAAGAATAAAATGCAATAAAATGATGAAATTAATGAGTTTCAATATCAAAAGAGCGTTTTGATTCGATTCAATTTCGATTTAATAAAATGGCAATGATTCCAAAAACGATTCGACAGAAAAAAAAAATTCATTTTACCTGTTTGCTCATTTGATCCAATTCTGAGGTATAGTTGATCTGTTTTGCCGGAAGACGTGCATAAATGTTTCCTTTTGCCTCATTGTTGCCGTTTGAATCCGAACTTCTGGCAACAGGTGGTGGTTTAAATGTGATAAATCGTGTGTTCAACTTCGGTTTGTCATTGAGAGTAGGTGAAACGGCGTGCTGTAATTCAATCGGCGGTGTGGTCATAAATGGCGTGTGCGAAGGTGACATAGGCCGTGTCTGAGAAACTGGTGTTGTTGGTTCATCTTCCGGTTGTTTTGGTACAAAACGCGAATACAAATCGGGCTTATGTTCCTGTTCAATAATTTCCGATGTTGGTATCGCGAATGTAACTGAACGTGCATTTGACTTCGGGGCACTTTCCATTGATTTCCTCTCCTGTCGAACATTTTCAAACAATCGAAACAGCGTCGATCGATTTGAAGGAACTGTCGGTGATGGTGTCGATTCGTCTGATTCAGAAGATTGTGCCTGCTTCATTGCTGAACGCGCACGCAAATTAACACGTTTGGCCGGTGGTGTTGTCGTAGGTGTATGGGAAGGTGACGGCATCGGTGTTGTTGATTCAATATTTGTATGCAAGTCGAGCGTGAGGTGTCGTTTAGCCGGTTCCGATAACACCATTGATGTTGAACTTTCAGGTGGTGATTCGGAATTAATCTTTTTTGGGGCCAATCGTGCGTGTAAATCGAGTTTTGGCTTTTCTGGCTTTTTCATTGGTGCCAGTTTTTTGGTTGACACTATCCCGTTTGTTGACTGTGGTGGTCGTACACTAGTTGGCGGCAATTTGGGAAAAAAACGAGAGTGAAAGAAAACAAAAAAAAATTATTCACAATGAAAAAAAAAAAAACACTTGAAAAAAAAACTACCGATATTTTTCAATGTATGTGCACTCATAGAGACCGTTTGCGATTGGCGTAATCGGCTCGTCATGAAAACGTTGCATTTGCATTGACGTTGAAGTAATAAATTGACAAAAAGTGACCGAATATAGGGTATGATCTGGTTGACGGCCAAAGGGTGAATGTTTAGCTAGTACACAAACTTTATATCAACATTTTGCGTCAGCTTAACGGTTACCGAATGTGACTCCGGCGAAATGGCAATAACATGAGCAATAAATCATCACATCAAACTATCAATGACACTCACGATGGAGTAGTTCCCATGTTGTCTAGACACAATTGAATTTGGATTTATCCAACACCATTTCTAAATACACAACATGTATTTCCATTCACATTTCGTCTATGGCTACTTGTGATATCAAATATACTTACATTTCAGCGAAATTGAGTTTTGATTTTTCTGGATTTTTCATTGGCGTCAGGTTTTTGGTTAACACCATCCCGTTTGGCTGTGGTGGTACATTTGTTGGCGGCAATTTGACAGCTACCGTTGGTATTTGTTTCACGTTTTGTGTTGAATGCGAGTTCTGTATATTTTGTGCTTGTTGCGATGCATTTGATGGCCGATTGCTTGAAATTTGAACTAGAGCTGGTCTTGGGTTTGAATTTGACATGCCTGGAACACGTTTTATGCTGTTACCTGGTCGAATTATTCGATTTGATGGAAGAAGTAGCGTAGCTACCATTGGTCGTGACTTTGACATTGTTGCGGCACTTCTCACATTGGGACGTGCCAAACTTGCATTCGTTCTTGCGATTGTCTTCTTTCTTCTTCGTTTGCGTTCACTTACGCTCATATTTTGCTCTTGGCACAATTTAACGATGTGTGCCGATTGGTGAGTCAATTTTGCAGTAACTTTGAGTCCTGCTGCTGATCTTGTTGCTGTAAATTGGCCAGTGGACTTCAGAAACTCTTCTAATGTATTGAAGCCAAAACTATTGAACGGCACCGGCTTGCCAACATCTTTCATGTACTCGTTGTTAATTTCATGAATCAACAAACCGCCGTGTAGATTCAACAACGATCTTATTAGTTTTACCGATTCGTCCATTGTTTTGATATGCTTGGCCAAACAATCACGAAACACAGCAGAAAATATTGCAAAAATTTTTCTCTGTCGATTGACCGCATGTATGAAATACAAGTCGTATGATGAGCTCTCGTCCAAAGCACTGTGTGTGTCATACGATATAATCGTGGTGCTGTGTGTCGTCGGCTAAAATCCCACTTACACAATCAATGTTGTTCTCTCTCTCTTATATTGTTACAGTTAGACGCATTTGAATACGATAAAGTGAAAAACATCACGATTTTGTGAGTCGGCAACTCTTCTGGTGCTACCGTTTATGCTGTGTATATGTGTGCGCTTCGATTCCACTGACCATATTACACTGCTGCTACTGAGCTTCATTTCACACTTCAATGTGTTGACGGAGATCATATTGCAGAATAAAGGGCGAGAGAGAGAGAGAAGACGGTGGTTCAACGCAAAATGAAGCGTGCAGAAAATTCTAACCGCAAATACTGAAACACAATGCAGAACTAAAACTTACATTTGAATCGTGTGAAACCGTTTGAGACAGTTTGAGAGTAGATTACATCACTCTGTTACTGTAGAAAGGCTTGAAACAATACACTGCATTATTTTGAGTCGCAATATGAGCGTTTATTCGCCACCGACTGAAGCGTTAGCTGAAATTTGATTACCTCCGTCTCTTTCCATCACATTGCGATGCTGTGATTCGGTCGACCGATGAAATGTGCAGAAAGACACTCTATCCTCACAAGTTAGAACGAAAAAGAAAGAAGAAAGAAAGAAAGAAGGAAAGATACTAAGGTCAGTAGAGAGAATGCTAATGCAGCGATCGTGTGTTTTTATAAACAAATGCTTATCGCATGGTTTGAATTCGAAAAACAACGGCATATCTGTCAAATGTACGCAAACTGCTGTCCAAACCAAGTTGATACAATTATGAATCGCATTTTTCTTCTCCATTTCAAACATAAAGTGGATTTTTTTTAGCAGAGTATTTCGTATATGTTTGTCCTATTACAAATGTTACATTACTTGTTTTGTCTGACTTCAGAAATTCTTATTTCGATTTATTTACTTAAAAATATGTTTATGATAACATTTTCAATAGAGATTTCTGTCTTTTAGAAAAAAAAATTAATATTGCGAGCAATATGGTGGGGTATAAATGGAATTTATATTCGGAAAAGTTACAGTTTTTGTTATATTATGGAATTTTACTGGATTCACCTATGAAATATCTTTTCACGCGTAACATGAAAAAGTAAAAATCTTCCAAAGCTATTTCTCGTGGTATCAATTGAAGAAAAACAGCGTATCGTAACGAAGTTGACGTTTCAAAAGTTATCTGTGACATTGACTGTTTTGCCACATTTGCTGAATGCGAATCCCTCCCAATCCATTCCTAATTGCTTTGGTTGGAGACGTGCATTCAAGTCCGTTTTTTTGGCAGATGCGCGACGGCTAACTTTGTCCATTGCCTTTGTTCCCACGTCTATCAAAGAGACACCATGTAGCTAAGAATGAAGTGCAAAAAAATGATAAATATGAAAAGAGCGTTTGGTTCGATCCATTTGACAGTTTTTGATTTAATAGAATGACAATGATTCCAAAATCTATTCAACAGAAAACCAGGCAATTCACCTTTTTATTCATTTCATCCAATTCTGAAGTAAAATTGATCTGTTTTGGTTCGAGCCGTGAATGAATGCCTCATTTTGGCTGATTGCTATTGCTTGTGCTCCGATCAATGGCAACAGGTGGCGGTTTCAATGGGACCAGTCGTGTGTTCATAATCGGTTTTTCATCGAAAATAGGAGTAGCTGCGTTTTGCGATTCTGTCGACGGTGTGGCCTTAAATGGAGACTGGTGTTTTTGTTGCAATATCTGGAACCAAATGCAATTGCAAATCGGATTCAAGTGCGAATTTTACATTTTCCGGTGACTGCAATGGGAGCGAAATCGAAACACGTTCATACGTTAGCTTCGGAGTATTTTCCGTTTGATTGCTTTGGCTTTGCTTCTGAAGAATATTGTCGAACATTCGTAGTAGCGCCGACTGATTTGATGGTGTTGATTCCTCCTGCTTCGATACCATTGGTGGTGGGCTACCAGGTGGTGTTACAGGTTCAAACTGTTTTGGGGCCAATCGTGCATATAAATTGCCTCTTTGTGCTGTATTAGCCGGAATTGTGTTGATTCCATACGAATGTATTTATCCCACATTTGTTGGCGGCTATTTGACAGCAGTTGTCGTCATCGGCTTTGCTTGTTGCAATGTAGTCGATGGCCGATCGCTCGAAGATTGAACCAAATGTCTTGAGTCATCTGGTCGAAATCGTTTTGGTGGAGGACTTTTAGGTCTAACTGTTTGAGGGATAGCTTGTCTGACACTTCACTTTGACATAGTCCATTATTTCCATATTGAAAGGTGCCCCAATCGCCTTTCTCTTTCTTTGTTTGCGTTCACTTGCGCTGACGTTTTGCTCTTGACGCATTTTAACGATATGTGCCGATTGTTGTGTCGACTTCGCAGTCACTTTGGGTTTACCTGCTGTTCTTGTTGCCGAAAATTGACCGGTAGACTTCAAAAACGCTTCTAATGTATTAAAGCCAAAGAAGTCTGATCGGCACCGGCTCACCAACATCTTTCATGTACTCGTTGTTAAATTCTTGAATCAACAAACCGCCGTGCAGATTCAACAACGATCTTATTAGTTTCACCACTTTGTCCATTGTTTTGGTATGTTTTGCAGCTTCGTTCACTTTTACTGCGATTTCCAATACGATGAGCGCTAGGGGCATTTAACTCGGAAAAAATTCGTTTTATGCGAAGAATATGCGCTTCAACTCATAGTATGTGCCGATTTCTTCGTACTATGCGTATTATGCGGTGCCTATTCGTTAGAAGTGCACACATTCGATGTCCGAATACTGCACATAGACCATTCATACTGCGAATAATTTCGCATGAATCCTACTAAAATGTTTCCTTCTCTGATTGGTCACACGCCACAATATCGACTATTTTGAATTCAAAATTGCAACGACTTTTTTTATGTAAAAATTCAAGAAATATTTGACTGCAAGTGTTTGATTTGTACTTATTTCGGCTCACATTTTTTGCTGATCATTTTTGTTAACTTCAATCATTTGTACATATGGATTTTTTTATTATTTATAATCCAGATGCTATTTCCAATTATTATGAATCGTCGCACTTATTTTTTCAATGATTTTTATATCTACAAAACTATCGGCGGTTTTACTTCAGTATTTGTATACTATAACATTTTGATTTTCGTTTTCATTCTTATTCTTTGCTATTATATTTTAATTTTGTGTTATATTTAAATTCAATTTTCATCAAATAAGAACAATCTCATTGGCAAGAGATTTGATAAATATTAAAGACAGAAATTGTTGATGTCAAATATTGTTTGAACGAACCTTAACGATACAACAGAATGTTGACATTGTGTTGATACGTCTTAAATCGCATCGTGGCGTCTTTATGTGCACGCGTATTCGCTTCTATGCGTAATATTCGTGACTATGTGCAAAATTCGACACACTTCACTGTGGCACACAATCTATGCGCGTTTATCCGTACAAATCGCATATATGAAAAAGAGTAAAAAGCCCCTAGGATGAGCGCTGATGACAGATGTAATTGAATTGAGTTGGTCAGATGCTATCGATGAAACGCAGAAAAAAATATATATTGTGATTGTCAATTGATCAGCCTTTCTGATCATGAAAATAGCGAACAATGCAGCGGCACCTGGGGACTAAGTGCAACGTGTCATACTTTCAACGTTTGAATTACACAGACGCATACTTGTTACAGCAAACTATGTGCATGATTCTCTATTTCTCCAACCAGTCGCCAGGTGCCGCTTCATTGTTCTTGTTTCACGTTTCCTATCTGTTTGTACAGACAATCAGAGAGGCTGCAATTGATGACGCGAAACGTAATGTCCACAAAAAATCCAATCTTTAATACCGAAGCAAGATAACAAAACTAAAACTTACATTTGAATCGTGTCAAAATATTCGTAGTTTTCTCTAGATCGTTCGGGAAGCGAAGAAGGATCAAAATGTAAGTAGCTCCGTGTTGAACTGTCACTCTGTTAAGGCTCTAACTAAGTCATTGGAGTCGAAATATGCGAGTTTATTTGTCAGCGGCTGTAATGTCTTCTTTCCTATTTCTCTTTCCATCACATTGCGATGCTATGGTTATTTGGTCGACCGATTGTATGCTTAGTTCCCCGAAATGTTTGTTTACATAATAAACAAATGCTTGTCGTATGGGTTGAATTCATAATCCTCTTCATTTACCAGTGAATGTGGAAAAATGTGTTCAAATGAATACAATGTATTCGCTCCTTCAGCTCACGCTCTTTTCAGATTAATTTTTTGGTGATCGTACATTTGTTGACGGCAATTCGACAACAACTGTCGCATTTGTTTGACATTTTGTGTTGAATGCCAAGAATTCTGAATACTTTGCGCTTGTTGCGATGCATTCGATGGCCAATTGCTTGAAATTCGAACCAGAGCTGGTCTTGGGTTTGAATTTGACATGCCTGGAATACGTTTCATGCTGTTAACTGGTCGAATTATTCGATTTGATGGAGGAAAGTTCCCTTTCGGCGTAGCTACCATTGATCGTGACTTTCACATTGTTGCGGCGCTTCTCACAAAAACTCTGTAAATTGCCTGAAATATAGGCAAAGGATGTCGCTTACGATGGCCAATATTTCGAATGAAAAATATTGTACCATTTTTTCAGAACAAGCATTCCTTTTTTTTGAAGAAAAATCGACATTTTTAATGAAAAAAGTTGAAAAAAAGTTTTTTATATGTAGACCATTTTATTTCAATAATTTTCTCGATATAACCATACACAAATAGTTTAAAATGATGACCATAACAATGGTTTCTATGATCATATTCCAGCAGTTCATAGTAATCATATCTAAATAAAAAATTTCATCGTGTTTTCTATGGAAAAATTATCAAATGAAATGTTAATAACTTTAATCAATAATGCTAGCACTAATACGTTTGCGATCAAGTTCATTTTGCCTCTTTTTCTCTTCAAAGATTAATTCAGATCTTGCCCTTTTTGTTCTGTTGACTCTGTGTCTCACATTGTTCGATTGTTTCCTTCCTAGTTCTTACTTCTTTCCAACGTAAACGTTCAGATTCAAGACGAAGATTACGTTTTATTTTTCCCTTTGAATGTCTCCTTACTCGAGTTCAGAGCATTGAAGCTGCTGCATATATATTTGCTGCTGGTGAACAGATCTGTTCGACAGCAGCTGCTGCTTGCGTGCATATTCGCTGTGAAGCACGTTCGT